CACACACACACACACACACACACACACTCAAATACACACTTTGCTTTTCTCCATTCTCTCATCCCAGTTTCTCTTCCCATTGTACAATTGTACATTTTGGATCTTATTTATTTTCAGCTTCTCACACTAGGGAGACAATGATGTTTACACATGTGGATTAGGTTTATTTTACTTGTAAGTATGGTCTTTTATCTACAAAAGTCTTCAGTGTATCTACAAAAGTCTTCAGTTTATCCTTCTTCATCACTGAGTAGTGTTCCACTGTATAAAGACCAATCTTTTTTAATCCATTCCTCAATTAATGGACATTTGGGTTGTTTCCAAGGTTTACCCATTACAAATGGTGTTGCTATAAACAGGGGTGCACATACACTGTAGCCATATGATTCTTCTGGGAAGATACTTAGAAGGGGAAATAGCTTGGTCTAATGGGACCTCCAATCCTAGTTTTCTGAGGAATCTCCACTCACTTTCAACAGTGGTTATGTACCAGTGTAACACTTCCACCAACAGTGGAGAAGGGTTCCTTTTTCCTCACAGTCCCTCCAGCATTTGTTATTGGTTGATTTCTTACAACAGCTTTTCTTTCTGGGGTGAGATGGGATCCTAGTGTTATTTTAATTTGCATCTCTCAAATGACCAGTGATGTTGAACATTATTTAATATATTTATTTGCTGTTTGTATTTCTTTATCTACGAAATATGTATTCATCTCAGACCCCCATTTTTGGATTGGGTCTTTAAATTTGGGACATCTGATTTTTTGAGTTCTATATATGTTTTTGACAGTAATTCTTCGAGGAACAGCTGGTAAACATTTTTTTTTCCCACATCATGGGTTGTCTCTTTACTTTTTTTTTTTCCAGAACCAGGGAATGGGGGGGGGGGAACTACCTGCTCGGGCCCCCTCTCCTGTCTCTCTCTCGGGACAGGAGCTTTCTTTCTCTCAATAAATATATTCTACTCATAACCTCCGTTTGTTCCTAAAATTCATTCTTTGGTTTTAGAGAACACAAAGTCGTGCAGGTCAGGTCCAGAGATCATTTTTCTCTATGTCATCCGGAGCTTCCCTATATGGTTTGGAGGTCACCCACCTGAGACCAGTTTTTCTTCTCTGTATCATTTTGGAGTTTCCCACCGAGATCATTGGACGGAGGTATGAGTTTGTTTTTCTTTCATAAATTCTGAATTGGGACTTGCTTAGGTAACAAATTTGTTTCAAATGTTAATATGTCTGGATTTAATCAGTTTTACCAGAACAATGGTGCAAGTAATCCCATTGGTTGACCATAGTTTTGTCCCACCTCCTGCCCACCTAAGCGAGTTCCCATTCTCTCTACCTTAACCCCGCATGGTTTTATGCTATAAAAATCCCTGGAAGAGACAGCTTCCTGGGGGAACTACCTACTCGCCCCCCCACCCCCCGCCATCTCTCTCTCAGGACAGGAGCTTTCTTTCTCTCAATAAATATATTCTGGGCTGGAGAGATGGCTCAGTGGTCTAAAGCACCTACTTGAAACAAGCTTGGCAAAG